ATTGGTCATGATGCCATATTGAGCCAAGAGCATCTTTTCCACAGGAGGTGATGGGACTTGAGAGATGTTTGGGGATTAGAAGATGTGGGAGCTGTAATCCCATAGCACCTCACCCTGCTGGTGCAGCAGGGAATCTTCCTGTGGATCTTATTTTTAGGGCTGTGCACAAGCAGGCTGTGGGAGTTCTGCTCTGGGCTCAGAATCCTGGCTGTCGCCTGGTATGACTTGTATGAGTGTTACCAGGTGTCTTGAGGAGCTGCTATAGACCCCAGGGGTAGGCTCAGAGTTCCTATGGGGAGAAGTGCAGGAATATGGCAGGAAGGGAACCAGGGACTGCGCGACTTCTTGATTGGCTGCAGGAGCCTCCTGCCTGGGATGGAGAGGGGGAAAGGGAGGGATGGAGAGGGGGAAAGGGAGGTCTGGAAAACTCAGGCTGGAGATTAGACCACAGTGCCAGAAAGAGGCAGTTGGCTGGTACCTCATCATCTTGGGGTGGGGCCCAACAGAAGCTGAGACAGATGTTCCAGGCTAGAAAACCTAGGGTAAGGCAGGGATACAACAGCTGAGTCAGCCCCCAGAAAGGCTCGTGGTGACGGAGGAGCCATGGACGTGGTTGCTGACATGGCTGCCTGTGCTGATGGATGCTAGGGCCAGTGAGTAGGGAAGGGGCGACTGGCCAGGATTTGAAAGCAGAGCCACAGCATGGAGCAGAAGCAACAGCTCTGGGGAAAGAGCGAATCCTTATGTTTAGATCGTGGCATAGGAGTCTGTGTGATTCTTCCAGAGTGTGGAAGTCAGACATAGTCCACATCTGCTCGACAGCCGTGCTCTGCCTGTTGTGAGATTTGCTCCCCACGGCCACCTGCTCTTTTGTGCTCCTATCCCCAGTCTTATTTAAAAAGCTGGATCCTGCAGCTCAGAGAAGTGGAGCCAGTTGTCAAGACACACAGAAAATAAGCAGCAGAGCTGGGAATTGAACACAGATCTGCCAGTCTCTGGAGCCTCGTCCTTCACACCACATTAGGGCTGCTTTCGGTCTCTTACACTGAAGAATTGTCCCCAGCGAAGAAACACCCACAGCAGCAGAACCATGCACTCCACTTCCCATGTTGGACACAGGCACATGTGTGCACATGCGCGCACACACACACACACGCACACACACACACACCTTCTCCTTGGGGTCCTACCTTCAGCTGCAAACTTCTTCAAATCCATGTGAATTTTGGATCCTATCATCATTATTTAGCCTTTTTAAAATCTAAGACTAAAGTTTGACATTATCTTCAAGTTTTCTAGTGAAATGGACTCCAGAAGAAGGCATGTGTTTATCCCGGGGTTCAGCGTTCCTCTGGCCAGGCTGTGTACACACCCTTAGGGCTGTGATCATACCAGACTAGTCCCTAGCACAAGCAGAAATAATGGAAACGCTGACCATGCCAGAGGCTGTCAGAGGAGAGTCAGAAGTGGGAGGGTGCAGACCCCAGAGAGTGTCAAGGGGGAACGGTGGATGGTCCCACTGTTCAGCAAATGAAAAGTCACAGACAGGTGGAGATGTCAGCAGTGCAGACTAGAAGCAGTCAGGCAGCTACACGATCCCAGCCATCTGGTTCACCTAACATATTTAAATCTAAAACTAAATATAGCTTCTTTCCCAAAAAGCACTCAGCATATTAAAGAACGAAGACAAGATGGAGATTTTCATGTTGTGCCTACAGATGAGGATATTGAGATCTAGATCCTGGCTTAGAATATCCTGGTAAAGATGCAAGGCACTTCCTCCTTATTGTATCAGTTAGCTTTTGCTTTGTATCAAGCCCTTAAACCTTACTGACTTCAAACAGCAACCGTTATATTTGCTTATGATTCTGGGGACTGGCCATATAGTTCTTTTAGTCTGGACAGGCTACTGATATCCATCTGCTGGTAGTGTGGCCGGAGCAGGGTGGGCTGGGATAGCTTCATTCACAGGTGTGGCCACAGCAAACTGGTTGTTTGAAGGGAGCCTCAGCAGGGACTGCTGACCTTGGCTCCATGTGGTCTCTCATCCCCCAGCAGTCTGGCCTAGGGTCTTCACATTGCCGTCTCAGTGTTGCAAAAGCAGCAAAGGAAGACAAGCCCCAGTGCGTAAGTACTTTTCAGGTCCCTCCTTGTAACACATTTGCTATTGTCCCATAGGCCAAAGCAAATTCCTTGGCCAAGCCAAAAGTCAGTATTGGAAAAGCCCGGGTAAGCCCATGGATGCCAAGGGCATGAGAAAATTGGGGGCTGTTACTGCAACAAATTTACCATGCTGTAAAACGGAGACTTAATTTAGCAAGTAACCATCATTGCCACTGAATGCCCGCCTGACCACCTGAAGACAACTCTAAATAATGCTGTGGCAAATCCCGTATGAAAAGACAGTGTCTACCGGGGCAGTAGCTCATGCCTGTAATCCCAACACTTTGGAGGCCAAGGCAAGCAGATCACTTGAGGTCAGGAGTTCGAGACCAGCCTGGCCAACGTGATGAAAACCCCATCTCTACTAAAAATACAAAAATTAGCCGGATGTGGTGGCGGGTACCTGTAATTCCAGTTACTAGGAAGGCTAAGGTAGGAGAATCACTTGAACCGGGAGGCAGAGGTTGTAGTAAGCCAAGATTGTGCCACTGCACTCCAGCCTGGGCTACAACAGCGAAACTGTCTCAAAAAAAAAAAAAAAAAAAGAAAGAAAGAAAAGGTAGTATCGAATAAGACCATACAAAACATACTTAGCTGTTCCAGTGGCCTCTCCTGCCAGTCAGGGAGGGGGAAATCCATTAAGAGCTTGGAAGCAGGAAGTGGTTGAGGAATAAGACCTAACCTAGCAGCAGAAACAAGGCCCTCACCTCCCACAAGCAAAAGCAGAGCAACCAGCAGGCAGGTCGGCCTCTGAGGTGATGACACAAAAGATACCACACGGCATCAGAAACCGGGGGTGGGTGATTCCCCAAGGCTGGCACAGTGGCTTCCCAGGCCCAGAGTGAGAGGCCTGAAGACAAGATTTGAGCCAGAGCTGCAGAGGGAGGGAAGTGCAGGAGAACACGTGTACATGTAGTACTGAGCTTGGGCATGGGGGCACTGACTCTTGCTCAGGGATAGTGACTCATGGGACAGAAGCGTTTCCCCCCAGCTCTTCCTTTCCAACTTGGGTCTGGGAGAAGGGCTCCCACGAAGAAGGGCCATTCCGTCATTAACAAGATGGTGACCTGAAAATACACCACCAACATGCACAAACATATTCATGGAGGAGGCTTCAAGAAGCATGCCCCTCCAGCACTCAGAGAGATTGAAGGAGAGGGGGACTCCAGATGTGCGCATTGATACCAGGTTGAACAAAGCTATCTGGGCCAGAGGACTAAGACGCATCCCATACCACCTGTGCGGCTGTCCAGGAAACGTAATGAGGATGAAGATTTGACACACAAGCTCTATATTTGGTTACCTATGTACCTGTTACCACATTCAAAAATCCAATCAATGTACAAGAGAACTAACTGCTGATTGTCAAATATGCCAGATGGAGTTGTAAAACCACAAAGTAAATAAATAAAATGAAATTGGGATCTGTTTGTTAACAGAGGTGCTGGTTGCTAGACACACAGGCTCAATTGTAAGGTGCAAGAGCATTTTCACCAGTCTGTTAGCAAATGTTCTCTTTTGGTAGAAAGTCTGACAGGTCCTTTAAACAAGTGGGTTTTCAAACTTACCTGCTGGGCCCTTGGGGAGGAGGTGGGAGGCAGGGGGCTCTGGGAGTCTGGCTCTTGCTTGATTCCCAAAAGACATGCTTTTCATAGTATAGCTTATTGAGATAGGATTATCCCCAAGTGTACAGCTCAATGGCTATATTCAGTGATATTCGCAGTCACACAGCCCTCACACATTAGCAGATGAGCTTTTATCTGATTTTGTCTGTCTGGTCTCTGAAGGAGATTATATTTGAATGGGGGAAAGATTCAAGTTTGAAATTACTGTCACAATCTAACTGTAGTTTAAGAACCTTTTCTAAAGAGATTATGGCTTTCAAGTTCTCTTTAAAATCCCAAAGAGAACCAGGAAATAAACTTGACTTCTAAAACGGATAGGGTAAAAGTTATAGTAGTCTTTTTTTTTTCCCCACAGAAGAGACAGTTAGGACCTTATTTAGCCTTTTAAAAAAATCCTTTTGTGCCTTTGTAATGTGGTTAGAGGAATTTGGAATAGGCAGGACGAGGCTCCCAAAAGACCCCTGGACCACTAAGCCAGCTGAAATAGGCTCAGTGGTCCGGGATGAAGGGAGGTCTGGATGAGCAGATGGAGCTAGTCAATCCTTTTCCACACCCAAGCCACCCCCCAGAGCACTGCTGCGGTGCACATTGCAAGGATTGGTGTTCAGATTAACAATTACAATTAAAGAAGACTAAGGTCATTTCAGCCAAATGTCCATCAAAAAAAATTTAAAGATTTAAAGGTTAAAGTTCACAGCCAGGTGAGTCTACGTGAAAATTTCCGTCATTGTCCAACACATTGTACATTCTCAATAAACATCCTTTGCATTTTTCCTTGGGAAGGTCATGTCTATAAAATATCTCAGTCCCTCTTGATGTCAGATAAACAAAGCATTCATGAATTGGTTTCCTCTTACTAACTGGAAGGGTGCATTCTTACTTGGGCTTATTTGGGGGCAAAGACTAACTCTAGAGCATGCTGTTGTTCTCCAGCTAGAGATGCATGCTTCCCTGCCAGGGGACTGGGCTAATCAGATTATTTTCAGTTGACAAACTTGGTTTTCCACCTCTAAACACTTCATTTATCACCTCTGCTTTATTCACAGGACATGTTCCCGATTTGAGGTGAAACCATGAAGAGAAAATAGAATAATTAATAATGCTTTTCCGCAACCGCTTCTTGCTGCTGCTGGCCCTGGCTGCGCTGCTGGCATTTGTGAGCCTCAGCCTGCAGTTCTGTGAGTAAGCCGGGCACTGCGGGTTGTGGGAGGGTAGGGGCTTCGTAGGAAACAAGGAGGTCCCGAAGCCTTGTTTTATAAATGAACAATGAGGTTGAAGACAACGAAGTCTTTCTGTTTTTGGGGCTCACAGTAGCCAGTTGCAAGGAGGGATCCTAAACCACGGAGCAGTGTTCTGTGTGCTTTTCTGACTTTTGCATGAACTCCTGAACTGCGCTGGTTATTCCCAAATTTTTTGTTCAGATTCCCCAGATGAAGACACTGAGTGGCCCTGCTTGACTTCTTATGCTGAGGTACACAGAGCAGAGCTATTTGGCCCTTTGGTTGGGTCCTTGAAAGTTGGGTGTCTGTTTAGCATTCAGTCAGCCACGGGGCTGGAGTTGTTTGGGGGAGGGTGGGGAGGTTAGGTCACCAGTATCAAACTCGCCTCCCTGGGCAGCAGGGACTGCATCGGAAATCCCCTGTGACATGGTAGGAGCACTCTGAGAAAGCCAGGCCATGGGCCTCAGCATGCAGCGTACTCTGCTGAGATTCCTAGGCTCAGGCCAGGCCGCAATTCTGTGCACACCACAGCTTCCCCAAGAGTGGCTGTGTTCAGACACAGATGTGGTCCCAGGACCTCCTTAGTGACAACCCCTCAGTGGTGGCCCATGGTCTTCTGGGAGGCCCCTTGACCTCCTGTGGCCCATGTCTGTTTCTTCTGTGCTCAGATCCTGGTGCTCCTTTACCAAGAGTGTTCTCTTCCTCACTCCCTCTCATCCTTTCCCTTTCAGCCCTTGCCTCTTCTCCTCCATGAACGCCTAAGGGTTTGGTGCTTCTTTTATATACATCAGGATGCCCTGAGTCTATGAACCTATTTCCCTTTCTCCTTCCCTTCCTTCATTCTGCACCCCTTCCCCTTTGTTTTCTCTTTGAAACAGGGTCTTACTCCGTTGCACAGGCTGGAATGCAGTAGCGCGATCACAGCTCATTGCACTCGACTTCCCAAGTTTAGGTAATCCTCCCGCCTCAGCTTCCTGGGTAGCTGCGACTGGAGGCATGCACCACCACACTTAGCTAATGTTTTGTATTTTTGTAGAGACAGGGTTTCACCTTGTTGTCCAGGCTGGTCTCGAACTCCTGTGCTCAAGTGAGAACATAAGTGTTACATAAGCATAACCCTGTGCATTATAGATTAGTGAAATTTTTTACAGCACAGTAATAAGCAACCAATAAAGCAACTAAATAATGGAGCAATTAAACTCCATTTCTACAGAAATGGGGAAATTCCAAAGTCACAGTTTACTTAGAAGAAGAGTAGTAAGAATGTGGGCCTCCCAAAGTTCTGATATTACAAGGTGTGAACTACCACTCCTGGCCCCCTCCTTTCACCAACCATACAGTATTATAATTTTCAGTTCTTGTGTCTTTTCCTTCTACCAGATTGTCTTCTCATTGAGAGCAAGGACCACATCCTGTTTCTCTCTGTATCCCAGGAATCAGCACTGCCCAGCACATAGTAATATTTTGTAAATGTGCTGAATGCATGAATCCATGCCTGCTCTAAAAGCAGACAGACCCTAACTTTCTTTCCTTCTGTTGCTGTGTATTTGAAGCTGAGAAAACATCTATGCAATGCCAGGAATTGTGTTGTTGCTGTCACCTGCTTCTCTCCATTTAACCACTTCACCCTGATGGGTGGGAGACAAGCAATTGGCACCCACACCATCCAGGACAGCTGTATGAGGAGGTGGCGTTTCTGTTGCAGTTTGAATGATGGAAAGACCGGCAGGTGGTTGGGTGAGTGGGATGTTGTGAGTGTACAGAGGAGCGTGGGGAAGGTTTGGCTCTAGGAGGGGGTGGTTTGAAGAGAAGAGGCTTTGAGGAAATTTCCTTGATTCACTTCCAATTGTGACATATTCCTGTGCACACATCTGGTGCATATGACAGGCTGTTTCTAATAGTAAAGAGATTTAAAAATACTCATCCTTCCAGAATTGGAAAAGAGGTCAAAAGAAGGTGGGCATGAGAAGTTTAAAAATATTCCAGATGGCAAATGAGCTGTAAAATAGGAATCCTTTCCAAAAAGTGTGGTAAGGTTTTCAGTAGTTTAATTGTTCATAACCTTTCATTAAAACTTTTCCATCCTTTGGTTGGAGAGGTAGGATGTTACACTCAGCCCTGATTTTATTTTGAGAGGCTGACAGGTTCTGAGACATGAATGTGTGTTACTTGTGTTTGTGGCACTTCTCTTGCATGAGCTGCTTTCCACGTCACTGAATTGGCCTGTGTGTTTTGCTTATATAACTCTTCTGAAAGTACCTTCTGTTTTAGGAAAGCCAATTTTCAGCCATACTTTTTTTAAGGGAAATTTTGCAGGGTAAATTAGCCTGGCTGGGTCTGAGCTCTTTATTCTTGGTTACCTTGTTGGAGATCGGAAGGATATTAAGATATGGACGTTCTTACTGCTCTTCTTCTCCTAGGTAAAGTGTAACTTTGAAATTTCCCCATTTCTGTAGAAATGGAGTTTAATTGCTCCATCTATTTAATTGCCTTATTGGTTGCTTATTATTATGCTGTAAGAAACAGTACTAATTCATAACGCACAGGCTTACGCTTACATAACACTTACGTTCTTATTCTTATCCTAAAATACATGGACTTTTATTCTTTACCATTTCTTTTTACTTATTTTTGAAGACAAAATTAGCACATATGATTGTTTTAAGTAACATATTTGAGGCAACCAAGTATAACTTGGTTTTCTCATGCTTCAAGAGTAAGGCTTTGTTGTCTGAAATGATCATATCTTTTATTTGGTCTTGTTCGTAGTTTTTTTTCTGATGTTTTGAATGTGAAAAAGAAATGGCCCAGGTTACGATTCAAAAATCAGATTGCTTAAATAAGGATCTTCCTCTGGATATAGAAAGTATGTAGTGAACCCACATATATTTATTAAGTGCTTATGTGTATTTGACATTTTTCTGCACTATGGAGGTGGAAGTAGTAAGGAATACAGAAGAGATTAAGATACTGTTTATAGCTTCTCAAAATATGTTCATCTTAAATGCTACTAGTGACTTGCTATATGGTAATAGTCTTTAATAAAAATAATTCCATTTATGTTTTCAAGTCCTTAGTGTTTTGTGTTTAGAAGGTGAGACATTCTGAAATTCCTGATGTTTGAATTGTAGAAGGAAACAGGCAAGGCAGAGATATTTTTAGTTATTGCAGTTAAAATACATACAAGTGGAAAAATAACTTCAAATTAAAAGACTCCTTTAGTGCAACAAGGAAAGACTGTCAGGATGTGAAGACTTAGGAATCATGAGTTATGTTTCTGCTTTTTGTGCTCATTTGTAATCACTCACTCCCCTCCTTGGCCCCTGCATTTCCCTAATGCTGATTTTATGCTCATTTCTCCATGTTCTGACCAGCATTTCCAAAATGGCGGCGTGACAGGAGCTCGCAGGCTCTAGAGTCATAGTTTGAATGTCAGCTTCCCTGCTAAGCTATCGTGTGTCCTCTTCCTTCTTCTGTAAAATAGAGTTAATTATTGCTGCTTTGCAAGGTTGATGTAAGAACAGAGACGGTGTGGGAAAACCCTTGGCTCGTGGAGGCATAGCCGACTTAAACCTTTTAAGCAAACCAGTGCAGTTTCATCATAGTGCACCATCATCAGAAACCAGGGTTCCTGGTGTTCTGGAAGTTGCCAGAGCTTATGTTACTTCAGCCACTTGGTGGGGAAAGCTTTTGAAATATATCACACATGTATTTGTTTTTAAGCAAAGTGCATTGGCCATGATGGGGTTAATTTATACTGAGCACATGGCACCCATATCTGGGGTTTTCCTCTTGGGCAAGCCCCTGATTGGCCAGAGCAGGTTCAGAGGCAATGCTGAGGGTGAACTGGAGATTCAGATTCCCAGTGGAAAAAGAGGAAAAGTGGAGGGCTAACCTGCAAAAATGAGAGTGAGGGTTGTTGTCAATATCTGAAGGGCCCTCTCTGCAAGAGGAGGTGAACACGGAGAGACATTTCAGTTAAGCATATGGTAGAACTTCCTGAAAGTCAGTGCCATGCAGAAGTGGAATGGATAGTGTGCTCTCTGTCACTGGAGTCTGCCAGCTCTGGAGGGCTGCTCTTTGAAGAGTAGCATATTGGACAGGTCATTGAGTCTGATCCCATTCAAAGTCTCTTTAAACTCTGAGGTTTTCTGAATTTTATCTTTTCTCATTGATCCAGTGACATGAGTATGTGACATTTTGTTCTTTAGCGACTGTGCTTTAGTTTCCACTGTGTGTTAGGCCCGGAGCTATTTGTCCAGTGGAGAAGAATCACAAGTAGACCCCCTGGAAGACCGGGTGCTGTGTGCTGGGACAGGTGAGAGTCAGCAGCACAGTGGGGTCGGAAAGAACATGGGCTCCAGAGCCAGAATGCCTGGATCAAATCCCTGTCCGCCACATACCAGCTATGTGACCTCAGGAAACTTATTTACCCACTCTGTGCCAGATGGGACAATGATAGTTCCCATTTCATAGGGTTGCCAAAGGATTCAGCAAGCTAATATTTATAAAACACCTGGAACGGTACCTGGCACCTAGTAATCACTACATATGTGTTTGTTAAATCAAATGAATTCAAGATCGTTTATGGAAGGGTAGTATGAGAGGCTAGAGCACAGGAACCCAACCCAGCTTGGAGTCGGGGAAGACCCCCCTAAAAGAGATGGCATCTGAGTTCATCCTTTAAGGAAGGCAGGAGTGGTCAAAGAGGCAACTGAGCACAGGTGCTCCTGGCCAAATGTGCAAAGGAAGAGTGAGAGAGAACAGACCCGGGTGAGTCGCCTGTAGGTAGCTTTGAAATTGGAATGAAGTCTGGGACCTACCTCCTATCGCTGCACTATATCCTGAAGGGTGTGAAGAGCCGCTGAAGCAGGGAAGACACCATCAGATTTGTGTCTTGGAAAGACTGCAGCCCAGCACCGTGTTTTCCAAAGCACCTTCATCAGAATCACCTGGGAAGCTTGTCAAAATGCGTGTTCTCAAACCAAAAAAAAGCATATTTTGTGCCCTTCCTTATAGAATCAGAATCTTGGCGGTAGTGGAATCCAGAAATCTACATCTTTAACAAGCCCTCTGGGTGAGTCTAATGCACACAAAATCTAAGCACTCCAGAGGCTGGTGAAAAGGTGATGCTGGGAGGCACCTCAGAGACTGTTTTGCTCATCTAGCAACAAGCTGAGGGTGGCCCCGATGAAGGCATTGACCCTGAAAGGAAGAAGCAAAACCAGGAGACGTCATGGCAGTGCTCTGGAACTCTATAGCTAATTATAGAGTGGTGTCACGGAGCCAGGATGATGGGGAATGGGGGACTCTATCACGGCACCCAGGAGTCCGGCTCGGGTAGTTCAGTAGATACTTCATGCATGCCTTCATTCACATAACTGTCTCATCTCCTTCTGGGATAAGTCTGCCAAAGGTGGAAGTAAATTCTTAGAACACAGACTGGGAGGTCAACCATGCAGGGCTGGTGGCTCCCTGGGTCTGAAGAGAGAGGCCCAGGGAAAGTACTCCGAGCAAGAAGGGAAGTGGGGCAGAGCCCAGGCAGCAGGACAGGCAGGGGCAGAGCAGGAAGGAGACCAGGCTGGGAGGAGTCATTGAAGGGCATGGACGTCACTGGAGGTACCCAGTGGGCCCCATGGATGCAGTGTCCTGCCCAAGAGTGGACCTCAGGGTCTGAGGCCTATGAAAGACCCTGTCAGAAGCCACCATTTGGGGACTTTGTATTCCCTCCGGTGAAGCCCTGGCTTCCAGAGGACCAGGGCTCCTTGGAGCATGTGGAAGCTGCTCCAGGGCAACAGCCTGTGAACTTGTTTTGTTTGGCCCAACCCCTGTTTTTAGATTTTTAAATTTATTTACCAATGTTTTAAAACTAGGCAATTTCATATAAACTTCCAGCCCTTCTTTGAAAAGCCAGACTCCCCAGCAACCTGGCCCACAGTGCATTACAGAGACCGCTAGCAGGAGCCGGGCAGCTGAGTTGGGGCTGCCTCCCTGGGCAGGGGGGTGCTCTCCTGGTCGCCACAGCGCCCACCTGCCTAGTCCCTGTCAGCTCCTGAATTTGTCCCCTGTGGTGCAGACAGAAGAGAGAGCCAGAGAAGAAAATCTGGGCAGACAGAGGAAGAGGGGCCACAAAGGAGACAGAATAGCAGCAGCCAGGAGAGCCTAAAGACAGGAGTGGTCTGGAAGCCAGGATTAGAAGTTCTCAGGTGGGCAGCTGAGGAGGCCCCACTTAGCCAGCTGTGTGTGTGAGAGACAGTGGGGGTGCGGGAAAGAGCACGTGTGTGTTTTCTATAGATTCCCTGGGAACTCTCCTACCTGCAGAGCTATCATGTTTCCTGTGACCCTGATCCCCTGTATCCCCTCCCTTTTTCTGTGCTGCTTCCAGTCTGATGCCCGCTAAGAAAGAAAATAACAATGCTTGATAGAACAGTGTGTACATTGACATAGAACTGCCTCTGAGTAGGTAAGCGAGTAGCCCTCACAGGTGCCAGGGTGCTGTGACACCTTCCTCGGTGGTTCAGACCCTCGTGTCCTCAGTCCTGCTCACTCTTGTAGACGGCCATCAGCATTTGTGGTGTCAACTCTGCAGGGACCCCTGAGGTCTGTAGTACCTGGTAATAGTGATTCTGCTGAGGCACACATGTGGATGAAAGTAGTGGAAAGTGAGCTGCTCAGCTGTGAGGAAGCCAGGTCCTGCCACGTAGCTAGGAGACGTGGCCGCCCCCTGCTCTTTGCCCTGTGTAGGTTCAATGGAGAAAAGCCATGGAGTGGTATGTTTGAATCCGGAGCTTCATGAAATCTTAGTGTGCTTCATGGAAAAGGTTTGGGGATATGCAAGCCCTTCGGATGCCCAGAGTCTAAAGTATTGTGTCCTCTATTCTAAAAGTCCCAATGCACTTCCTCCTGGGCTTTTATTTTGTTGAGCTGGAGACAAAAAGTATGAGAAACTGAAAATGAAGGTTTACATGTTTAACCTAAGAGTTCTGTGATGTCACCATCTCATCATTGTGACCAAAGTTTTCAATTTTGTATTTTTTATTAATTTTGGTCCTTTTCTTAAAGACTTTACTTTCTGTTTGATTTCTAGGAGTTTTAATTTGCTCGTCCTCAGAATGCTTTACATCCAGCTGCCACATAGAGTTAAATATCTGCGGGTGAAAAAATAACTGCCGTAGATGAGTGACAAAATTACTTCTGACAGTTTCTTAAGCTCATGTTGTAGATGCATTGGAAGGGGGAGGTGAGAGTATCATGTAGCAGATTCTTCTGCAAGCTGAGTATGGACACATTTATGTCTGTGGATCATTTCTAGTTTTCTTTCAGGGTGTAAAAATAAGGACCTCCCTCTCTCCTTCCCTTCCTCCCTCCCTCATTCCCTCCCTCCTTCCTTTTCTCTTTCCATTCCTCCCTCCCTTCTTTC